CTTAAGTTGTGCGATGTGGTCTGTGTCTCTTGAAGACTTTACCAGCATGTCGTCTATGTAGACTTCTATGGTTTTACCGAGCTGGTTAGCAAACATTTTGTTCACTAGCCTTTGATAGGTTGCTCCTGCATTTTTCAGGCCGAAGGGCATTACTTTGTAGCATTAGGTACCTCGATCGGTAATGAAGGCTGATTTTTCTTGGTCCTCCGGACTCATCTTGATCTGATTGTATCCGGAGAAGGCATCCATGAAGGACAAAAGTTGATGGCCAGCTGTGGCCTCGACCAGGCGGTCGATGTGTGCAAGATGGAAGCTGTCTTTTGGACATGCTTTGTTTCGGTCGGTGAAGTCGATGCAAACTCTCCACTTTCCATTTTTCTTTTTGACGACCACAGGGTTTGCTAACCAGTCGGGGTATTTCACCTCCCTGATTGATCCCACTTTGAGTAGTCGGTCTACCTCGTCATTGACTGCTTTAGCTCGATCTGGGCCGAGCTTGCGGTGTTTCTGTCTGACGGGTTTGATGGTTGGGTCGATGGTGAGCTCGTGTGCGGCGACCTCTGTATCGATGCCCAGCATGTCCGCAGTGGACCATGCGAATGTGCTTAGGTTTTCTTTTTGAAAATCTATTAGCTCGACGCAGATTATTTCTGCGAGATCGACCCCGATTCCAATGCACCTTTCGGGGTTGGCCTCGTCTATGCACACTTGCTCGATCATCTGTTCGAGGTTCGCATACAGAGGGGTCTTTATTGTGTATTGCTATACGGGAGCATTCTCGGCTCGTAAGAAGCTGTCCATGTAGCAATCCCTTGAGGCTCGTTGGGAGCCGCGTATCGCTTTGGCTCCCCAAGGGGTTGGGAACTTGTAACATTGGTGGTATGTGGAAGCTACAGCTTTCATCACGTAGAGCCTCGGTCTGCCGAGTATGGCATTAAACAGAGCTGGGCGATCTACAACAACGAAGTCAAATATTTTTATGACCCCGCCGAGCTTAACTGGAAGCTAGATGGTTCCTAACAGGTAGGTGGTTTCTCCTGTGAAGCCTGTGAGTGGAGTTCGATCGTTCGACAGCATGGATGTTTGGTATTCCATGCGTCTAAAAGCGTCGAAGAACAGTACGTCTACCGAGCTACCGGTATCGATCATGACCCTTATGAGGTCGAAACCGCCTACAGCGATCTGACTGACGAGTGCGTTATCATGTGGTTTGTCTAGAGACAGAGTTTCGCTTTCTAGAAAGTTTATTTGGTGGTCAGGTCAGGTCAGTCCAGAGGTAGGTTTACGGTGGCAGACTCGACCTTGCGTTGATATGACTTGATCGAGTTGATTGAGTCTCGGTACATCTTCGAGACTCAGCAGACGAAGTCGATTCGCTTCATTATAGGTAGCTCCCCCTCTCTCCCCCCCCCTCCCCTCTCCCCCCCCCACACCCCCCTCCTCCCCCCCCCCCCCCCCCCCCCCCCCCTTGAGTTTGAGGTGTCGAGATTTTGACGAGCTTCTGAGTAATTTCTACATGTGTCCCCCGCAACCTTATGGAGCCTGGTTGAGCAGGAGCTTTATGGTTTTCTAGGTGCGGGCGGGGGGGGGGGGGGGGGGGGGGGGGGGGGGGGGGGGGGTGATTACTGATTTCATTGATCCACCGCAAAGGTTTAGCTCTCTGAAAATCAGGGCGATCTTTTCTCTCGCTGATGGAGGAGAGTCAGGGGTTTGGACTTCGACTTTGCGATCTCGTTTTTGAGGTGCTTTGTCGGGGTCCACTCCCCTCTTTCGGGTCAAGGTCTTTTTGGGTTTTTTGCTTTTTCCTTGGCGAGTTTTTTTCGCCAGGATTCTAGCTCGAGTTTGACATTCCTCGGTGGAATGTCTGTTTTTCTTGTGGTGTTCGCAATATTTGCTTTGGTCGAAGCTCGACTCCTTTTCGGGGGACGAGCTTTCTATAGCTTATGAATGCTGACCTTTGCCCTGCGACTCCTTTTGGGAGGTGTAACGTTAGCTTTCTTCGACCCGAAGGGTGCGAGGTGAAGCTGTGAGTTAATGTATTTTACTTCGCAGGCGGCTATTTCGTCCTCGAAGTTAGCGTATATGGAAGCGTGTTGGAGCGCGTCATCGAGTGAGTACGTAGGTCGAAGCGTGAGCTCCGCCTTGAACCTTGACTGATACCAAAGGTTGGTTTGGAGGGCGAGCAGGGCTACTGCTTCATTAGGGTTAGCGATTTTTGCTTTGATCACCTTGAATATAGCGATGTATGATCAAAGTGGTTCGTCTGGAGCTTGGACTAGCTTCCAAAGGTTGGCTTTGGTTTCTCGTTTTTCGATGAAGATCGAATATTGCTTGAGGAAAGCTACTGCGAGCTCGTTGAAATTCGAGATCGAATTTTCTTCCAGCGTCGCGAAGCATTCCTGGGCTGGTCCGACTAAGTTTTCGGCAAAGAGCCTGCAGTATCCTGCTTCTTTTTCTTCTGGGGAGAAGTTAGCTCGGATAGCCGCGAGGTTGAAGAGTCGGATATGAGCTTTCGGGTCATTGTTTCCAGTGTACTCTAGGACTCGTACTTTAGTAGTGTCTCGGAGGTACGTGTTCATGATCGAGTAAGTGAACAGAGTTCGTTGGGTCTCGAGAATTACTCGATCGATGTCAGGAGCCGAACTCGTAGCTGGGTCGAACATAGAGTTCATCTGCCGAATGGCGTAGTCGGTCTGGTTCCAGAACCTTTCAAAGGATTCGCAGTGGACTAGGTTTCTTGAGCCGACGCCGAGGTGGTTAGCCCGAGTCGGATCATTCGAAATATGAGTTCCGAGCTGTTAGTGAACTAACTCTATAGGTTGTTTGCGAATCCTGCTAGGAAGTCTCGAGCTCGAGGTCGTGTTTGGTTGTTGGCCGAACTGGGGTGGTATCTGCGAGCTCGAGGCAGAGGTCGAGGACCCAAGCCATCTCTGTCGAGGTAGCTCGGTTCCAGGTGGTCTTAAAGGTGGAGATGGATATCTCGTGTTGGGACGGGGTCCCATTTCGGGTATTCCTGGTGTTGGCACAGGCGGAGATGGATATCTTGTCACGGGACGAGGTCTCATCTCTGGTATTCCTGTAGCCGGAATATCCATGGTGACTGGTGTCTGGTTCACCGCGGGGACGAAGTTTGGTGGACCTGGAGCACGCAGAGGTGTCACATATGGTCCGAGTGGATTACTCGGAGCAGGGATCGACGAAAAGTCGAGCTGAGTCCGCGGAGGTGGACTCACATCAGATCGAGCTGTGGCATGACGCCTTTCCTGTCTTTTTAATATGATCTCCTGATCTCGTTGTCGATCGATCAGATGTGTGAGCATTTGGAGATCTCCACCAACTCCGATGTGCTCCTAGAAGCTACGAGGATCGGCAGGGAAACAGGAGCTGCTCGGCTCTGAGACGCCGAAGCTGTAGGTGGATTCTCATATCGCACCCAGGTTCGAGAGGGAGGCCTCTCGGCTGTTTGTGACTGATTACTCGTCGTTCCCGATGGGGTGACAAAGTTGATCAGGATCGGTTCCACATGGCTGGGAACGTTAGAGTTCGTGCCAGTGGTGTCGACGAGGGTCGTAACCCTGGGTTCGTTTCCGCCGTCTGTCTTGCTGACGTAACCAGTTGGAGTAACTTGATCTGGAGAGATCGTAATCGGTGAGACGTTTCCCGAGGTTTATTGAGTTGAATCCATTCCGGTTTCAGCTGGCTTAGGATCTGCTCTTGAGTAAGAGAAATCTATAGATCTTTCCCCACAGACGGCGCCAAAATGTGGATACAGAAATCCACACTCAGAAATTTATGTGTTTTTGTAAGGAAAGAACTTTAGAGGATTAAAGGCTAGATTCTCTCGAACAGATTGACAGTATTAGCTAGGACTAACTGAAATAAGGACTTTGATATTAATCGGTTGAATGAAACGGTTACAAAGATTTCGATGAAGAAGATGAACTGAAAAGAGTTCTGGGAGCAGTTACAGAGTTTTCAGGTAGAAAAATGGTGAAAAGATCAAGCCCCAGAGAAGTCCCTTAAACTTAGCTGTTCCCTTCCTTTATATAGCTCGCTTCGTCGAGCTCCGAACTCCAGCGCGTATCTCGGCCACGTGCAGCAGCTTCAGCCGGAAATCTCGCCACATGCAGCAACTTCCTCCATGATCTTCTGACTCGTTTGAACTGGCGAGAATATGCTTTGACTTGGCTCGGATCCTTCCTTGTTTCTCGAGATTCGATCGAGCTGGAGCTCGACCTCATCGAACGGAACGTCTTGTTGTTCAGGATTGGATCGTTGAGAGCTGAATAGGCCTGGACCGTAGGGTCAAAGTCCAGTCAATTTGGCTTAGTTTGGATCTGCCTGTTGGGCTTGAATGGGTCGGATTTGGGGTGCCAAATTCAACTCCAACAATTATCATATTTTCTTTAATGGTGTTTCCACATTTTAAAACATTTCGTTTTCCGTATGCATTTCCCTTTCGATGCTAAATTAAAAGGCTAGAAAACTAATCCGAAACTGGACTAAACTAGCGATTTAAAACTGAACTAAACTGGACTCTTCTATATCTATTATATAAAGAGTGAGTTGTGTTTCACAAGATAATGACAAGCACTTCTCTCCATGACACATCAGCAAAAAAAAAAAAAAGAATAAAAATAGTCCCGTGAAATCATTAATCACATCGGTCAAACAACAAAAAGTTTATCGTGAAGCGTCTCTTCCAACAATTCAATCACCCTTATCTTTCTTATGAAAAAATTGTTTAGTTGAAATCCAGAGAAGATGAGAGACTAATGAACCATAGCAGTTTTGAGTAATCTCTCAGTTACGGTGGATTTGTGTTCAGAGAAAAATAGCCGCGAGATCTCCAAGTACCTCTTCAAAGGTAAACATCTTCTCTCGAGCTTCCTTCTGCTTTGAATCTCGTTGGCTTTCATCGTGAAAAAGGGTTTATACATCGAAGACGATGGCATTGATTGATTCACTTTTTTAAAAATGTGTTCATTTGTTTGTGCAGAGGGAGTTCTCTTCGCGAAGAAGGATTTCAATTTGGCGCAACATCCTTTGGAAGGATAAGAGTTGGGGAGTTCCTCGTCGGTGACTGAATTAGGGTTACATTCATCCCACCCAAATCGAACAAGAAATGGCTCATGCCTGCGTCTCCACATCGACTTCTTCTCTCAGGTTTACAGTTGGATTCGTCTCCGCGAGTCCCAATGGCTCCTCTTTCGATTCTCCGAAGCTTTCTCTCCCTTTCGAGCCCCTTCGTTCAAGGTAGATGCATTTTCAAGTGTTCTTCACTGCAATTGCTCCCTAAATTACTGAATACTAGGTTAATTTAGGGATTTAAGAGACTGGGCGGATTTTGTTTGCAGGAAGACGAAGAAGTTAGTTAGCAACATAAAGCATTGGAAGAACTCATCTCCGAAGGCTGTATATTCCGAAGGCTTGTCCATAAGGTGAAACATGAGTTTTGAGCTGTGAATCTCGACTCTTTTGATGGTTAAATCTAAAAGTATGTTACTGTTTCGAATTGGAACACACACTAGGTAAGTTTGATGTTTTCTCCATTAGATTCTCTCTGTTCTGTTTTCGTTGGCCATGCGTGAGCGAATCTCTTCAATCACTCATGAACCATGACTCTTCGATTAACTGTAGTTTAAGCTTGTTAGTTATTAACGTATTAGATTCTCTGATGGATCAGATCTAAGTTGCATGGAAACGGGGACTGGGACCGGGACGGGAAACGGCAAAACTAAAAAATTTATAGATACGGATACGGCATAGATACGTTTATAAAAATATATAAATATATATAAATATCTATATTATTAAAATATAATAACTTCAAATGATAAATTTCAAAATAAGAAAGCACATAAATATAATATTATAAAAAAATAAAGAAAATACCAATCATCAAGCAACACATTTTCGAAATCTGGCTCATCTAGTGATAGATTTGCCAATTCCAAAAATCCCACATCTTCTAGAGAATCAAAATCATCTCCACCAACATCCCACATCTTCGTCTTTTCTTCTTCATATTGATCGGAATTCCTTGATAAAAAACGTAAATTGTTGTGGATGAAAACTAGGTCTTGAGCACGACTTGGTTTCAACCTGTTCCTTCTAAGAGAGTGAATGAATGAGTAAGTACTCCAATTGCGCTCAGCACATGAAGATGAACTAGGTTGTCCAAGTAACCTAAAAGCCAAAGTCTGCAGGAGAGGAGTTTGGGCACCAAAGTTAGCCCACCAATTCCTCGGTTCCATAGTAAACATCACCGAAATGCATGTTAAATCCTGAAAAGGACCAGTCTTCGTGGAGAACAATGCATACTTATCTAAAACCTTAAGATGATCCTCAGTATTCGGAAACAATCTTCGAAAACACTTCCCTCTCTCAATTGAGACTTCTGCATCTTTATGTGGACTAGCTCTTGCAGAATCTCCACTTAGCCATTCATCACTATAAAATCTACAGTACAGAATCAAGTTATATATATGGCAAGAAAACTAAAAGAAAGAATAAATTATATAGTTTAAAATCATATACCTCGGATTTATAGAGTGAGCTAAACAATGCAGAGGAGTGTTGTTCTTCGCCCAACGATCCACTAAGATCTCATAAACAACATTGTAGAAAGGACTTTCTTCAAACACTGGACGTTTTTCTCTCTTAAAGATCTCATACTTCACCTTCTCAATCATAGAATCCCACATCTCATAAACCAAGTGAAGACATGGCTTGTCAGTGTCACAAAACCTAATCATCTCATAAATAGGTCTTGTAAAATCTATAATATAAGACACTTGTTCCCACCAATCATCACTTACAATCTTCTCCTTAACAAAACTTGCTTTTCCCACATCATCATCTCTATAAGTAGACCACTCCTCACTTATGACCATAGCTTGGAGGCCTCTTTTGATAAGCTTCAATCTCTTAAGCATCACAATGATAGAAGCAAAACGTGTATCAGCAACCGCAAGCAATTTAAGAGGAGAGAACTTACTAAAGATTGCAAGTCTCATGCTGTGGTTCATGATGAAATGTTTGATTGCAAGTGCATCTCCATGAATTACAGTTATCCAGCTGCACTCATCATATGTTGCTTCATTCCTTTCCACATTCTTTGCAGCACAAATGTTTTTCAGAGCAAGATTAAGTGTATGAACCACACATGGTGTCCAGTATATATGAGGAAACAAACACTCAATGATCTCTCCAGCCGCCTTACAGTTTGCTGCATTATCAGTGATGATTTGCACAACATTCTGATGGCCCACTTCATTGATAACATCTTTCATCAGATCAGAAATAAAGAATCTGTTTTTCACTTCTCCAAAACAATTCACAGCCTTGAGAAAAAGAGGACCATTTCCAGAAGTAGCAATAAAATTAATCAGAGGTTTTCTGTTAGGATCGCTCCAGCCATCTGACACAATTGTCACCCTTCTTTCTTTCCATGTTGACTTCAGTGGAACTAATTGATTCTCAACGTTGCTTCTCTCTTTCTGAAGCAAGGTAGTTCGCAGCTTATTGTAACCTGGAGGCACATAACCATCAATATTGTTATTAGCAGCAAACTGATAAGACCTGTGGTAATGTTGGTTTCTTGCCAGATTAAAAGGTAAACCAGCAGTGTAGAACATCCTAGCAATCTCTTGATCCAACTGCTCTCTGGCGTGTACACCAAAGGATCTAGCAATTGGAGAATCTACAACCTTTCTTTTATTAGAAACAGAGATGGTTTCACAAGGCAAAGGAACTGCTCTAGAGCCAGAATCGCTTTTCTTCTTCTCAAACTCAGCTTCCAACTGTTTCAGCTCAACTTGTTGATTCCTTGTTATTTTCTCGCATATAGCAATGCCTTCATTTTTAATCCCAAGGAGATGTGCTCTAATCCTTGAATATGAACCTTGTCGAGTCTTATTGCAAATATTACAGTTGAATTCCCAGGTACCTCCTTTTCCTCCTTGTTTGTCTAACTTAGTGACATAGTTTCATAACGGACCTAATTTACTTTGACTTCGTGAATCACTTGTTACACCACCAGAAGTACTACTACTACCAATAGTATTAGTTTCTTCTTGAGAAGCCATAATACTGAAAAAAAAAATTGAAAACAGAACCATATAAACGATACATGCGAGATAGAAGAAAGAACATCACGATCACAGAATATTTGATTTGCTCTCTCTGCGGCTTAATTAAAGTGTACTTAAACGGTGATTAGAAAACTTACTTAGATGAGATGAATTGCTTAGAGAGATGAACAGAATACTTTTGGTGATGAAGATGAAGTCTGAGACAAATCGGGAGACGTGAGAGGAGAGGAATGGTTGCAGTTAAGAACTAAGTTAAAACCCTACATTATTCTAATTTTCCTTTTCTATTTGTAAAAAAAAAAGGATAAACGTTTCAGAAACGTTTATACCGTCTCCGTTAAGAGTTGCCGTACCCATCTCCGAAGAAACGTTTCAGAAACGTTTCGAAGCCGTCCCCAACAAGTCCCCGTCTCTGAAAACGGGGTACGGGAAACGGCACCTAAATGACGTCCCCGTGCATCATAGGATCAGATTCATCTGTGAAGAGATGCTATAACTTGTCTCCTTCTTGGTGTGTTTTTTGTAATGTCAGAGACGAGACAAGCCGAGGCTTCTCGCATCAGAGAGAAGTACCTAGACAGAATCCCAGTAAGAGTTTTGTTTTCCACATCATTGCATCTCGAGTGGTAACTCTGCGTTTCTTTCCTGCTTAACAGAGTTTGCGCATCGCAGATGATTGTAGAGAAGGCTTGAGAAAAGCGATGTCCCCGTTATCGACAAGAAAAAGTCAGTAATTTGCAGCTTATGAGTTACTTCTTCTTCTTCTTCTTCTCATGTTTCATTCCTTTATCTATTGACAACATCGTATCTGCTAACGCCATTGATCTGCAACCTTCTTTTTGCTTGGTATTGATTGGATACAGGTACCTTGTGCCGACGGATTTAACAGTGGGGCAGTTTGTGTATATTGTCCGCAAAAGAATCAAACTGAGTGCCGAAAAGGCTATCTTCGTCTTCGTGAAGAACACATTACCCCCAACATGCTCGAAGCTCTCTGCTGCAACATGGCAAGTCTTTTCCTTCTTTGATTGATTCATCGTTTAGAGCATATAATAAAGCTGACGGATATCTTGAGAGTTTTAAAGCAAGATTTGTATTAAAATTCGAGTTTGTTTTCGCAGACATTCAAGCGCAGGAACGGTGCCCGTAACAAATCGGACCGTGGTCATGTCGATCCCATCAGGTGTCCCAACTTCGGGAAATGCTGCCCCAAGGTTCGCTCTCCTTTTAATCGTTTTACTAAATTCCATTTTTTATCTGTATCGTTCAAGATGATCTGATTTGTTGTTAGGACAAGGCAATTGAGAGATGCATCGTCAGGAACATTGTTAGGCAAGCAGCCAAGCAAGCAGCCATCAGAGATGTTCAAGAAGCCAGTGTCTACGAGGTATGTTGTTGAATGAATGATTCTCATTTCCTTATCCTTCATCGAATATTGTTTGTTTTACGGATTTGAAGTTTCTGTGATTTAGATTGTCGTTGATATGTATTATGTTTGTTTGAATTTGTAGGATACACTCTGCCAAAGCTTTACGCTAAGATGCAATACTGTGCAGAGCTTCAAATCAAAGGAATACGTGTGCGAGACATTTGCTTGGATACATTACTACTGATTCCTCACAAACGAAGGCATTAACTTTCTGAGGACTTACCATCTGAGATTGTTCCCGCCACTTTGAAGAAGCAACGGAAGCCTCTTTGTCTTCAAATTATTCTCTGTCCTGTATCTTTTCACTACTGTTCTGGCATCAATTGATTTGATCTTACCTTTTTTTTTTTTTCGTTGCAGATATGCAAGAGAAGATACCCATTATCTTTTGTACATTTATGATGTCTAGAATGGCAACCGGTGACGAGCATACTGACTCCTCTGCTTGAGGTAGACGTCATTTAACTATGCTGTCAAGTCCATTATTTGTCTGCATGTCTGTATTTGCATGATAGATTTACAGTTTTCTTTGGTCTTGCTATCAAGCAGAACAAGCTTGGCATCTTTTTCTAAATTCATTGAACAAATAAATTGTTTCTCCGTCTATACATGGGGAACTGCTTTGGGTTTAATGTATTAGTGACGAATGATTTTAGCAAATATCCTATTTAAAAATATGAAGAGTACGAAATATAAACAATGTACGCCAATTAAGACACTGCTATTTCAGGTACGTACCCATAATTGTAATAAGAAAACTATAACAAAAATAACAATCTCCAATTTTGAATAACAATCACAGTTCACTTCTTATTTTCAAGCCAAACATATTAACTCACTGGAGCTATAGATTTCGAAGTTCTTTTTACAAAATAAAGTTATTTGGCTGTTTCAAAAAGAAACAAAATATTGACGCTGTTTAGTTTTTGACAGGCATCTAAAAACCAAAAAAACATTTATAATATTTGAAAGTAAAAGAAATAATAAACATAAAAATAAACTATTACCAAATAAATATATAGTTATTTAAAATATTATATTAATTAAAATTTTAAAATTATATAATAAAATAAATACCTGTGTGTATACATGAGTTATCACCTAGTGAAAAATAAAAAGGCTAAAAAACTAATCCGAAAGAATTGTGCTTAGACCGGTTTGGATTTGGACATTCAGTTGGGTTGTGTTCGGTATAAATGTCCACCACAATATATCAAGTACTTCAGCAGTAAGAAACCGAAAGAGTTAGAAACTTCTGATTTGATTTACAAATCTATTATATAAAGACTGGTCTCAGCAGCCCTCTCTCTAACACATCAGTAAATAAATCTTTTTTTTTTAAATATTTCTATAATGGAAAAATCTCACGGACTTATCTCTTTCCTCTCTTAATAAAACTTTCTAACATTCTATCGTTCCAACTTCATCTTTAAAATTACAACAATGCTTAGAATCTGCAAAAATCACGTTTAATATATATCTTGTGCTTCCGCATTCCATATTTTCCTCACCTTCTTCTCTCCTCTTCTCTCTTGACGCTTTTTTTACAGCAATCTATCTCTCTCTCTTGACGCTTCAGATTCAACTTTGTCAATGATTACTCACCAAAATCTCTATGAATTAGGGGTTTGAGTAGTAGAAAAGTCAAGCTGTTGAAGTTGGATTAACCAGCCTACGTCTTTTGGGACACAAATGATGGGAAACCTATCGACTCACGGTGCTCCATTCCCGAAATCACAGAAGACGCTGATGCAATTCGATTCTCTCTGATTTCGCCGACAAAGTGAGAATATATAAAATTATGATTTTGCAATCGACATGGATAATACTTTCTCTTATAACCATTTATTCTTCTTTATTATATGGATCATGATTTTTAATCTGTTGCATTACTCTTCATAAAGCTGTGAATGGCAAGAGAAGTTTTGGTGGGAAGGCGATTTACAGAAAAAGAAGTGTTTTTTTTTTCTTTTTGGTCGGAGTTTTAGCTAATTTTTAAAGGTAAATTTCTCATCAAACTATTTTCAATCATGTTTCTACTTCCAATGAAGTTTACAAGTTCTAAGATATTTTTCCATATCTACTCTTTATGTCTTACAAATGTTCATTGTGGTTTTGATTTTCTTTAAGCTGAATCTGAGTATGGTTTATTGTTGAAATGTTCAGCCAGTAGACGAAGGATAATTTCGTAGTGACTGTGAACTTGCTGTATCGATTCCTTGCTGGCTTTTACATAAATTATGTGTCTTTCCAAATGTTACTTTAGGACTTGCTAAAGCAGGGAGCTTACCAGATGTCTCAAACTTGGTTTCAGGTGCTTTTAAGGTATTCAAAATCTTAATGTTTTGCAACAGCTTGGCGATTCCATGTGTGTATGATGCTGTTTACAAATTTTTTTTGAGGCTGACAGTTTCGTCTCTCTATGCAGATGGTAATTAGGCAACTAAAACAAAAAGTACCTGCTAAATCAGCTAGCAAGCCTCGCAACGATACACTTGTATCCCAGGTTAGTTTGACCTGAATCTTTTGATTGGCAAGGATATAGTTTGGTGATAGAGATTTGTTCAGTACTTATATTGGCTGTGAATCAATATTTTCTTCTCTGAATTCTCTTCTTTTTCTCTTTGGTAGGTTAACAGTCTTAGGAATGAATTGTAGTTGCTCGCGTCAAACAGACCTATCACTACTATTACGACGGCATGATCAGGTGTTGTGGAGTTTTCAATTTCTTATATTGGATTTTTGTATTCCTCTCCTGCATTTTAAATAAAAACTGGTTCCATGTGAAACTTGGAGATGGGTTTTGACCATTTTTGTTTCTCGGGCCATGGTTTTTAAAGAAATCCTATTTCAGTTTTTTTTCTCCTTTGCTACTTTTCTTTTCATCAAACCTGATTGATGGCTTTCTCATCCTAGCATTATCATCTTATGTCATTAGAGTAACATCATTATTTTTTACTGTTTATATTCTATTCACAGGTAGAATATATGGTCTCATCATTGTCATTGGGGTGATAGGCTACAGATGTGTGGCGAAAGGTAATGCATCTCGAATCACCATACTGGAGCTACTTCAAATAATTTACTCCCTCATTTGAGTTAATGTTGGCTACTGTTTTTGGATTTTAGGAAAAAAAATAACTTTCGGTTCTCCTTGCCAAATTGCTGGGCACTGATATCTTCTGGAACATTCTCAGGGCTGGAAACTTCCAGATTTTATGTTTTCAACAAAGAGCAGTTTATCAGATGCATGTAATAATGTTGGCAGCCACATTGATGACTTTTACTCATTGCTTTCGGCAAGTTCCCAGTGTTCTTTTACTATGTTTGCGTGTTCTGATTACTGAACTCTATTCTTTATCAGTTGCAATGGTTTTGTTCGTGAGATGAACCATGCATATGATCTACTATATTTTTTTTAACTCAGTTGTCGAACATCAATATTTGTCTCACTTTGACATTTCATGACAGAGTAAAAGACAAGAGTTAAGTTGAAAGATTGACGGAATGGAACTTAAAGTGGATGAAAATTCAGTAATTATTAAAGAAACAGGACGACATGTATGCTAGATTGAATGTGTACATTTTTCATCTCTGCTTTATTCTGATAGTTTGATGATAGAAACGCTTGGTTTTAGTCTCTTTATTTTTGGGTTATAGTTGTTTTCATTCTTTGGATTTGGAGGTGTGAGATCAAGTTATTTATTTATTGATGGATAACGACAAACTTCCTGGAGCATAAGCAAAAAAGCATTTGCGGATTTTCTCTGCCCATTCTAAATAGGGGTCTGAAAAATGATCAACTGGTCAACAGTGTTTGCAATAGATTTGATTGACTCTCTGGACACAGACCAATGGAAATCATATTCATATACAACGTCGAAAAGTAACTTTCGTTTTAAAGATTGAAGAATTGGAACTTTTCTCTTGTCTTTCTTACTTCTAAATGATATATAACTTATTTATTTATTTATTTCTTGATTCTTTGTTTCTTTCAATTTGAATAATTTTGGTTTGTTTGTATCAAATCGTAGATTATATCTATTGGTTTCAGATAGTAATGTAACAAATTGCAATTATTTGAGATTACTAACAAATATTGGCAAGGATAGGCTCAGTGCCTTTGTTTCACGTCTGATCCTACTCCACATATATGTTCGGTTAGAAGTGGTGGGTCGTACTCCAAAGTCCAAACCATATTTTATTTCTATTGTTTATTCTGATTTGTATAAATAATACGTAACAACTTAGTTAGAAACTTTAAATTTATAAAAAAAAATATAATTTATTCAAATTATAAAAGAAAAAAATTGAACCAAATTAAAATATATTTATCAAGTTTGATTTACTAAATACTAATTTGAATTTAAATATAATATTAATTTTGTAATGATTGTAAAAAATACAAGATTTTATTTTTAATATTATTTTTAGTAAATATAAAAATAATAAATTTATAAAACAATATATACCCGCGTGTACACGCAGGTCATCACCTAGTTCCCAAATAAAAACAAACGCAATTTCGATGCAAAATTCGATTTGGTAAAGCAACAGAGAGGCCACAGGCTGGAAAGCCCTTAATTGTTAGAGAAGAATCTATTCTACCCTCCAGTGATCTACGTACCCTTTATAGGTCCCACTTGTTTTAATGAAATATACAATTCCGAAATTATCTTTTCCTTTATTTTTCATTTATATTAAAAAAATGCTTATTAAAAAATAAATAAAAATTAAAAACTTTCAACCAATCACATTGAAGCACGAATTTCTTCTTCATGAAAGTTCTTTTTTCATCGTATCCCTCATCTCCATCTGCCATCGAAGCCAAAGCTTCAAAATTCATGTGAATTCTTCTATTACTGTTGTGTTTTAGCTTAAATTGATCGAGTTTGTTAGTCAATTTTGCTGTATAAACTATTTTCATTATTGTATTCGAAGTTTAGGAATTTTAATTTTGGAATTCGGATCTGTAAATTGGCACATACAATTTTCAGATATAGGACAACTTAATACAATTAGAATTACTTAGAAATAATATATAACTGATATATTGATTGAATTTGTTAATTGATTTTTTTTTTATGTTTTAACTAATATCTATTTCAAATACTAAATAAAAAATTGTATTGTGTCATGAGACATCCAAATTTGCCAAATAAATTATATTTTTTGGTCAATAGATATATTAAACTTCACATCTCTTCATATATTCCTTATACTTTTATGGTTAGTGTGTGGATAATAACTTCATTATTATGTGAAACGAACAAACAAAATATTTGAACACATATTATTATATGAAAGTATAGTAAAATGTATTTTAGTTATCTAATATCATAAGTACAACTATAAAAAATTAATTTAGAACACGGTTTAACTAATTAAACGTAAAACTCTCAAAATACAACTATGTGTATCTCACTACAACTGAACACTTGGGTACAACTATTTGACCAATTTTTCATTGATACATGTGGTTGTTGATGAAGTCATGTGTTAAATAAAGTAATTTTTTATATATATATTTTTCTTTTAAACACGTGTTTTTATTTTTTTTTGAATTCATCTTTTTTTATAACACGGGCACTACGTTTTTAAATTCATCTAAAATCATTTTAAAAAATATTCTTTAATTTTCAGTTGTACCTGATAATTTCATTAGTATCGACTCAGTTGTTCGTAAGAAATCCATTTGTACCTAATAATATCACTAATAACAACTCAGTTGTATCAAATAATTATATTAACCAAACCAACACATCCTCTAAGGTTCATCACCACATGAAACACAATGCTCTCTATAGCCAAACGAGCCAAGAGATTCTGAGAAGTAGGGGTTGCATAGTCCGAAAGAACAAGAACCGATTTCCTCAAGACAAGCTGCAAGCAAGAGAGTCCTAATCTTTGGTTGCGATACCAATTTTCCTATCAATCCCAAGGGTTAGATATGTGCAATGCATTAAGCAAATCAAAGGAACGATTCCATCTATCACTGCAGTATTTGAACAGCTCCGAAAGAGCTAAGCTTGCTAACAATCCAACCAATGCAAGCAGCATCTGATACCTACAAAGCACCAAGAGACGAACAAGAACACCAAATTCAACACTTCAGTTCTAGGCACCTAATTTGCATGAATATATTCGACATTCGAATTCATACATAACCTAATCGAGCAATTTAGACCTAAAAAAGACAAGTTTAACAGTATGGATTCCATACAGCACAAGCGAAGAAGACGATGAAGAGCGTAGCATAATTTCTGGCGAATCGCTTTATATTCTCATGGAATCTCATTCTCGCTTGCTGAGAAGACGACGGGAACGAATAAGAGTCACACATGCCAAAGAAACCGGTGGTCCACAGCGTCTCACCTGAAAAGTCATGGGCGGAGAGCTTGTAGTTCGGGGTTGATGGCCAGAAGAGAAGAGACAGTGACGAGTCGAGACAGCAAAGAGGCGAAGAAGCCGTCAGTTATGGAGGAAACGACACCGTTAGAGGCCGACGAAGGTGCGGCATCTGAGGATGATGATGAGGCAAAGGCCGAGGCGGCTGCGACTAGGAGAAGGATTTCAGATTGAAGCTGGGAGAAGGATTCTGTTTGAAGCTGGGAGAAGAATTTTGGATTTTCCCTGGGAATCTGGGATTTGATTAGCGATGCTGCATCTGAAGTATTATGTGGCGAATTTGGTGAAGGTGAATGAGTTTTGGCGAATTTGGTGAACGTGAATGAGTTCTCGCTCGCTTGAAGGAGAGGATCTTTGGCTGGAAAGCCCCTAAATGTTGAAACATATGCTCAAATACCCTCGTTATGTTCTGGAAATTGATTTTGATTTTTTTTTAATCAAAAATATTGAAAAGACACTTAAGTCCAACCAATTTTTTACTATTATAGATCCAACCAAATAATATCCACCCACTAAAATATGATTCAAGATCCGATTCATTTTCTATTTAAAAACAAAAAAACAAAAAGAGATAAAAACTTAATTTACTGAGTTTTTTTCAGTTTGCCAAAAAAGAAGAATAGAGAATCCTTGAGTTTGCCGACGAACATCCAATTTTCAATTCTTCACTTTCGTTCTTCAATTATCCGCTTTTCATCATCTTCGATTCCACAATTGTCACGCTCGTCCTCCTGTGGATTCCGCAATCTCCACCATCTCTGTTGTACCTTCATCTCCACCGTTCTTCATCTTCGTTGGTATAACTAGGATTCTTAGTATAACTAGTATTTTTAGGTTGGTATAACTAGTATTCTTAGTATAACTATTATTCTTAGATTGGTATAACTAGTATTCTTAGGTTGGTATAACTAGTATTCTTAGTATAACTAGTATTCTTAGGTTGGTATAAATAGAATTCTTAGTATAACTAGTATTTTTAGGTTGGTATAACTAGTATTCTTAGTTGGACCTTAGTATTATTGAGCTTAAATATTAACTCAATATGTGTATATATACTTATTTTTCAGAATTCTGAAGAGGATATGAAAAGTATGCATCCTCCGTCCACTATCCTAAGATACAATCCAAGTGTGAAGTAAAGAATACAATGAGTCTGATTTTTAAAAGCCTAGAAGATAGAGACAAGCTAGGGTGGTTCAGAAGTCATCCGCATTTTTGAAGTAAAGAATACTTGTGTCTGGGTTTAACTGCCATGAATACTCAGAAAATTATGAGAAGTTGTACGGTGATGAATTCGAGGAAAGGCATTTTGAGGGGAAAAACGATAATTGTGCAAGATGTGAAGAGTAAGGTGGAGACAATGATGACTTTTGTCTCTTCATATCACTGTAGGTCAATGGATCCATAGTCCCTGTAATAAGAGATATACAAATCTGAGTTCAAAATTGAATTTGATAAGAACCCTAGTTTTACAAATCTGATTTCAAAATTGAATTCGATAAGAACCCTACATTCAGCATTCAACCTAGATTTATCAGTAAGAACCCCAGATTTACCAATTTGAAATCGACATAGAAATTACCTTTCGCCTCTCTCTCTCTCTTGTGCGCTCTCTCTATCGAAGGAAAATGAAAAAGTCCGAAAATGAAGAAAAATGAGCTCTGTCGGGATTTATAGTGGGGACCACACTATTAGATATTTTTCTTTTTGTCGGGACAGCATTGAAAATTAAATAGTCGTCCCTAAGTATCCAGATGTACAAAGTTCTTAATAGTTGTACTTTTGCAGTTTAATTGTAATTATAGTTAAACCTTCATATAAACTATTATGAATTAGTTGTACATTACATTTGTAACTATAAATTATCATTTTAAACATTTTAATATGATAATATCTCGAAATCATATATTTTACCACTTTTGCATCATAAATGGTTAACATTCAACAATGTATACCTTATACTAGAAGAAGTGTTTTACCTCAAAGCAAAGATATGAGTTAAACAATTAATTTTTTTTCTTGTCTTCATTTTTATTGTTTACTTTGGGTTTATAATGATCGCACAGTCTTAAGTGAATGATTTATTCGGATTATCACATTGAAATCATCGCTTACAAATATTAGTAATACTAGTAATACCAGTTGTATATTCTAATTCAGAAACTGCCAAATACACGAAATGGATAACAAATCTCAATAATACCAGTTGCAAACCTCAATAATACCAGTAATACCCAAATTAAACACTACTGATAACAATTAGATATACATATCAATCACTACTGAGACCTACTCAGTACTTCAAACTTCACCTCAGGATCCTCTTGTTTTTCGTTCTTGGATGTCGTTCTTTTATCTATCCCAATCTTCTTGCATATCTTCCATAGTTGTCTTAAACGCTAAACCATAGATGTGATATTTGTAATTAAAATGTACGTTCACATGGTTGTTCATTGCCTCCTGCGAAATTAATACAAAGACTCAATTAACAAAATTGGATGATTTCAGGTTCAATCCTTTCATTCAATAATACCAATTTTACTAGTTATATCTATTGCAGCAGTTGTACCCAGTTCTCCTATCACTGCAGTCTCTATCGCCTCAATTCTTTATAATTTACTTAGGATTTGCTACGATTCAACCACACAAATATATTCATTATCAATGCAATGTCCTAATCGACCAATACTGCTAGCTTACAAACACAATATGCACCTAAAATCAAATTCAAATAAAATTCCTAACTGCAATTGCAAACCCTTAAATGATTTCAATAAATCTCATTAATTTCTACTCATATATTCCTTGATCTTACATAAAATGCAACATATCTACAAGAACCCAGATCTAGATTTTGAAATTGCAGCTTCAATGCAGCTTCGATGCAGCTTTAATGGGGTTGGAGGCGGTTCAAGCGGCGGCGGCGGCGGAAAGAGGTCGGGGGAAAGAGCAAAATTTTGAAGAAAATAATCAATTTATGTTTTAATATTTAATTGTTTTAATTTTGAGAAAAGGGTATTTTTGGAATTGTTTATTTCATTAAACTGAGATGGGACCCAAAAAGGTATGTAGATTATGAGAGGATAGATCAGATTTTCCAGAAACAAATAGGGGTATCCGAGATCGTGGCTCTTGAAGGAGATGAAGTCGTAGGAAAAAAGGAAAAGTGGATTTAGATCCAGTTCATTTTGGATCTGGGTGTGGGTAATCCGAATAATAGATGGTTGGGTCTATAATTTTTCACTGTATGAAGGGATTAGATGACTTTAGCCTGTTTTTCAATTAAAATTAAAATCAAAAATAAATTGCTAAACATAAGGGGGTATTTCAGCTTTAGTTTCAACAATGCAGGGCTTATCAGCCATTGATCCGCAACAGAGAGAGACGGTGCTGGCATCGTCGGCGGCGAGAATCCACGGTGAGATTTTTCTTTTTTAGTGTTCGGGTTGTAACCTGTCTGAATTCTACGAACCTAATCGTCACTGTGATCGCCTGATTTTGATGGATTCAACAAAACCCTTAATTCATCGAGTTGATCGCGTGATTTCGGTTTCTCTTCAAACACTCATTGGTCGATGTGATCGTGTGATTTCGATTTCATATCTATAATAATTCGTCTCTTCCTGAATCCTGTGTTCATATTAAATATTTCGATGATGGTAATTGATCTAATAAATTAAAATACTTGATGGTTGTTGTTTCTGTAAATTCAAGATATGTTTTTGCCTTTTTCTCTCTGTTTAAATTTTCGATTTCACTCTGCGATTGCAGATAAGCTGTGATGAGAAAGACGATTGATTTTCTATCGGAGAAGCAAATGAGTAGTAAAAGGCAAGGTCGTAGAAATTGTGGAGAAGATCGAACAAGCTTATTACCTGATCCTCTTCTCTGTCAGATACTCTCAAATCTCCCTACAAAAGATGCAGCCAAGACAAGTCTTTTGTCCACTAGATGGAGATCGATATGGCTTTCGGTTCCCGGGCTCGAACTTGACGTCGAAGAGTTCCCAAATTACAACGACTTCGTGAGTTTCGTCGACAGATTCGTCAGTTTCTCCGTGGAGTCGCCCATCGAGAAGCTCAAGCTCACTTCAAAGAGTGACGATTCTAACCCATTAGCTATCAAATCATGGGTTGACGCAGCGGTTAACCGCAAAATCCGACATCTTGAGATTGATTACTCCAAGAGCTATCTCAGGTTCGATCTCCTGTCGCTAAACATCTTCATCTGCCAGACTCTCGTATGCTTAAGACTCTGTTTCGTGGCCTTGAACGATTTCAACCGCGTCTCTTTGCCCCGCCTTAGAACAATGCATTTAGACGAGGTTAGATTTGAGAAACGCGCGGCTCTAGAGACGCTTATCGCGTCTTGTCCTGTTCTTGAGGATCTGACCATCATCACAGGCCAAGATGATGATGTGACGGACTTGCGAATTTGCTCTCAGACGGTGAACAGACTAAGTCTTGTTCTAAATATCCCTGGGCATTACCGTTTGGGTATTGTAGATGGTGAAGTTGTGATTGATACCCATAGGATCAAGATTTGAGCCTTAGAGATAACCAATCAGCGAGATTTACTATCTTGAACATGTGCTCATTAGCGGAGGTAGATATCGATGTCGATTTCAATGTGAAGAATAGTTTGGATGCATATGACTCGGTGAAGAGAAGTAGCATCGGCAGTTTTCTTACCAGGATCTCGAATGTCTGGGATATGACCATCTGTTGGAGAACTCTCAAGGTATGTATATATAATGTCAATGAAGGAATCAAACATGTTCATCTGTTGATATTTTTGTTTTTGTTTGATTCAGGTTATCCGTCAACACTGTAAATTAGAACCACTACCTCAGTTTTGTAACATTTCTCGGTTACATGCTAAGATCTTTGCTGCGGATTTGGAAATGTTGCCTGACCTTCTTGAGAGCTGTCCGAATCTCAAATCCATTATCTTGGTGCTGATGGGCTTTCTTCTTGGTCTTGTTATGTGTTTCCATTGTGAGAAAGATTGTGGTAATGATAGTTTCTTTTGTGGTATTCGCAGGAACGGAATGGTTCGATTAAGAAGGAGGAGGAGATTAGTTTCTCATCTTTTGTGCCTTGGTGTTTGCGGTCAAGTGTAGAGCGTGTCGAGATGAGAAACCCAGTTGGTGGATTCAGAGTAAAGATGAAACTAATAAGGTATTTTTTGGAGAATTCAATAGTGCTCAAGAAACTTACTCTGCGTCTAGGTTGTCCTAGGATGAAACAAGAGTCTTTCATCTTCATGGAGCTCCTGAGATTCCGGAGATGCTCTAGCGAGGTTGCGTGTTACCTTCTAGCTTCAAACGAGATCCCTTATGCTCCCGTTATAACGTATAATTTATTAAACATTTTATTTAAATCGAAAAAGTGGTTAATTACATGTTGAACTTCTTGAAATTGAAAGATTTACAGATCCAACCAGTCACATCCAGATGACTTTGGATACGGATCCGACCCGATTCGCAATTATAACCCACGAACCCATAACCCACCGACAAATATAAACCGTTTCACCGTTTCAACATAACGAAGACATTCTCTTCTTTTCTCCGTCGCGAACAAAATAAAAATTAACAGTTGTAGTTACTAAGAACTCCAAAGAGAAACACAACAAATCGGATATTGCATATCGAGAACTCCACGAAATTGTCGGCCAAGATTTCCATATCACTCGTCCACCAGAGAAAAGGTAAGTTAAAATCAAATACAATTTTCGAAATAGATTAAAAATTTCGAAATCGAATGGAAATTTTGAAATTGAATAGTTTTAGTATAGTAGGGCTTAACAAATGGACTCTTTGTGATGAGAGCATCGACCAATCGTTTGTACTGGAACAAGAAGAGTGGGAACCAGACGTCGTACCACTAGTGAACGGTTCACCAATGACACGTTCCAAGACCAGAAGGATGCGAGAAGGGTTTAATGAGGCTGTGGAGATACTACTGATCAACATGGACGTGGGAACGTCACTAAGCCCTCAACCGTACCCCATTGCACCCGAAGAAGACATATCGGAGGGTTTTGCCAAAATGAGCCTCAAGGAGGATCCGCCGGCCACAAACCAAGGTATGACCATTTACTTGACAGGAAATGAAGCTCAAAACAACAAGAATCTCACCAATGCCGTACCGGAGCGCCAAGATACAACCAGATCAAGTCTAAGAGCCGAGAAGACATCAATGGAGCTAGAAGACATTTTAAGCCAGGAACCAGGAGGAACTCTCGAGGAACCACCACAACTTGACTTCAGAGGATATCAGGAAGATGAGAGCTTCAAGGAACTCGGACAATGCAGCTCAAGACCGGACCTAAACCACTACTTGCCAACCAAGGTACATGCGCGCCAAAACCAGGTATTTTCAGTTTATACGATTTGTGCAGGTAATGAGGCTTGCCTCAGTGGTTCTTAAGCCTTCCAACACGCCAAGGCAACACCAGTTCGAGCCCTTAAGGCATCAAGAAGGTCGGCTTAGTTTTATTTCTTTTAGTTTAAGTGAACTTTCCTTTTTCATGTATTTTTGCCTTTGTGCGTTTTGCTCTTTTGTATTCTCTTGTTATATCGTTTTGCTTTTTATTTTCAGCCTTAGGGCTAGCTGACGAGCTGTTTATAAAGCTCCCCTGCAGCGTTGTATTTTTGGTTACCCTACATTATCAATAAAGAGACCGAACTTTCTTCACAAAAGCTTAGCCGCCGCTAGCCTTTGTTCTTACTTGTTCTTGCGTGTGGATTCACCAAGTTCCAAGTGTTTGCTGTATCAGAGAGCCTTCCATACTCTTTGTGGTGCCATCGACCCATTGCTTTCACCATTCATTGATCCCTCAAGGGAGAGCGTTAAAGCCAACTTGATAGATCCCATATCGGCTCAAGACTTGTTTAACAAGCCTTGTTCTACCACCCTTCACCCACTAGTCCGTACGAGAGAGCGACATAGCCAGCGTATTGACTCCATCATCCCATCACTTCCACATCATACAAGCCTCTCACACCGAGTCTTATATCACTTTGTGTAGGGGTTACAATGGCTTCGTCAAAAATAGGTTGGCCCGAACTAGAAATGCCTCAGAAGTTAAAATGGGGCAGGGAAGCAAGCGTAGTCGAAAAGAATAAGTGATCGTGGAAGGGAGCAGCAGTCATGCCGTGACGAACTCCGATGATGCGCTATCAACGGTATGTGGTTCGGTTTTGGCTTGAACAAAATAGGTAGTACTTGGTTATACTATGTGTATATTGGTCCTAGTATTCTGAAAACAAATAGTAACACTAGGTAAAACTTGAATGGATTGCTAGGATGAAACAGAGCCAATGCAACCAATGCGAATGTACTTTCAACCGAGTGAGTACAAGAAACAAGTCAAGGTATCAACCAGATGTTACATCCACCATGCGGTGAACAACATCAATGCTCTGAATCTTACGACTTCAGAGAAGAATTGGTTTCTTAACCACCCTCAGTTCAAGCACTTCTTCCACATGCATGATGACCATAACCACAAAGTTATGAGAATGTGGATGCTCTTGCTTCGAACAGCGGAAGTTGAGAAGCGAAGGGAAGCTTGGTTCGTTGTTAATGGAGTCCCCATCAGATATTCTCTCAGAAAACACGCTCTGATATCTGGGTTAGATTGTCGAAGCTATCCAGAAAACTTCATGCAACTGGGGGGTACAGAAAGGCAATTTGGCTAAGAAGCAGCAATAACATATGCAAAAATTGAAGAGAAGCTACTGAAAATAAAGAAACCTAATCCAGATAGGTTGAGAATGTGTGTCCTCTACTTCCTCTGTAGCATCATTGTAGGCAAGGAGAAGACAGGAAAAAGAGCACCATCTGTTGAGAAGTTTTTTATTAGAGCTGTTGATGATCTTCCACTCTATCGATCACTTCCCTGGGGGAGATACTCCTTTGATCATAAATTAAGCGATATTCAGAAAGAGATGGATGCCTATAAAGGAGTCGTCGATAGAACATGCAAGTTTCCTAGCTTTTGTACTTCATTGGAGGTAGGTATGATATATGTATTCATAGCTGTTTTAGTGTATTCCCTAACTTGCTAACAAAATGTGTCATGTGCAGTTGCTAGCGTTTGAGGCGATTCCAAAGTTGAAAAATAGATTCCGGGAAATGCATACATGCGCACATAAAAGCTGTCCTCGGATGTGTAAAACCAAGTTTAAGCGATATGCTTTGAAAGGATTTCCTCTTTCAGAAATTTATGAAGAACTTGGTACAACTAAGGTTAGAAATCATACTGTAGATATCTTTTCAATTAATTAGGTTTGTAAATCTAAACTTGTTTGTTTTTATACACAGGACATTTAAAGTGTCCTGCTGGCTTCTGATGAGGAAGAATCTATGCTTAAGGAAATCATAGATGGGGAAGACGAAGATGTGCACGATGTTGGTGTTGAAAGTTGGATGAAGCTTATCAATCAAGGTAAATCTGTTTGCTTTGAAGAGATGTCCGATAAAGATTTGGCGTCCCGAGAAGAAGAGAAGAGTGAGGAGGAAAATGCGACCCTCCCTGTTCAGGATGAGGACAATGCGAACCTCCCTTCTCAGGCTGCTGCGGACGTACATGAGAAGAATTGGACCGTGCGGGAAAATGCGGCACCAATCAGCATGGTAGTAAGGCTGCAACTAGCCATGGAAAAGGGATTTAAAGAAGTCAAAGATAAATTTGCTGCATATGAGACAAGACTAGTTGCCGTGGAAGAGTATGTAAAGGAACAGTTGGATGCAAGGAGAGATTGTATGAAGACCCTGTTGATTATAACTTTGATGGTGCCGATGGTATACAAGGGGACAGCAGCCTGGTGGATCCTGCTGAGAAGGTAGCGTAGCACTTGTCATTTTCAAATGTTAAAAGAAAAATGACACACTAGGAAAAACTAAGTAATGTTTGATGCAGGGTGACGAAGAAAAGGACAGAGGGAAAGAAATGAAAGACACTGAGAAGGGAACGGAAGGAGAGAAAGGCGTAGAAGAAGGGGAGGAAGAGACAAATAAGATATGACTTGCATATGTTTTTGCTAAAATTAAAACGTAAGAATATGTAACACTAAGTTAAATTTGATGTTTTTGCAGGATCAAGTAGAAGAGAAGGATCAAGAAAAAGATACGGAAGGAGAGAAAGAAGGACATGTGGAAGCATCTGTGGCACCAATGGTGACCCAGAAAGCAGCAGCTGTGGCATCAATGGAGTCCCACGAAGCGACACATCAAGAGAAGGAAGAAGAAGAGAAGCAAAAAGAGGAGGAAGAAGAAGAAGAAGAAAAAAAGAAGAAAGAAGAGGAGGAAGGACAACAGGAAGGAGAAGAAGAGAAGGAAGACGAGAAGGAAGAAGAGGAAGAGAAGGAAAAAGAGAAAGAAGATGAGGAGAAGGAAGAAGAGAAGGAAGACGAGAAGGAAGAAGAGGAAGAGAAGGAAAAAGAGAAAGACAATGAGGAGAAGGAAGAAGAGAAGAAAGCCGATGAGGAGAAGGAAGAAGAGAAGGAAGAATCTGAGGAGAAGGAAGAAGAGAAGAAGAAGAGGAGGAAGAAGAAGACAAGGAAAAAGAGAAGGAAGATGAGGAGAAGGAAGAAGAGAAGAAAGAAGAGGAGGAAGAAGAAGACAAGGAAAAAGAGAAGGAAGATGAGGAGAAGGAAGAAGAGAAGAAAGAAGAGGAGGAAGAAGAAGAGAAGAAAAAGGAGAAGGAAGAAGGAGATGAAGAGAAGGAAGAAGAGAAAGATGTCGAGGAAGAGCAAAGAGATCAAGAAAAAGAGAAGGAAGGACAGAAAGACGCTGATAAGGGACTGGATGGAGAGAAAGAGACGGAAAAGGTATGACTTATAGTTTAATATGGTAAAACGAAAACGTCAGACTAGTAATACTAGGGTTACCTTGATGTCTTTTGCAGTATCAGATTGGTGGCTAGGAAGAACAAGAGAAAGAAGAACATGGTGAAACAGCATCAGAAAAAGAAAGAGGAGCGGAAGATGCGATTTCACTGAAGAAATGTTCCACTATGGTGAAGAAAGGGGACAAAAAGGTGAAGGTCAGTAAGAGGAACACATAATCTTCCTCACGTGAAAAGGTAATACTTGTTATTATGAAATTTTAAAGAGGAATACTTGGTAATACTTTGGACTACTTGTGACTGCAGGCTTCCAGTGTGAAGGAACCAGGGAAGGAACAATCACGAAAGAAGAAGAATGAAGACGTGAAAATTCTTGAGAAGAGGGAACGCAAACGAAATTCGATGCTAGTGGATAGTCCTTACACCGAGAAAAAGAAAGAGAGGAAGAGGAACAATAAGAAGCAAAAAGAAGTGAATTGAAAGACGTTTGTGTTGACATTAGGTTTTTGGAATACTTTTGGTATTTGGATGACTTTTGGTATTTGGATGGAATTTGTAGTAATGGTAATATTAGGTGAAACTGTGTTGTCTAAACTTAAGTTTTCTTGAAGCATGTTTAAGTATAATTTTGAATCTTAGAGTAAGAGAAATAAGTTTGCTTAATTAGAACTGAAACTAAGAGTTTTACAATT